GGCGGGCGGGGGGCGGGCGGGCGCCGGCGCATCCCGCGCGCCGCCGCTCCAGCATCCACGGCTGATGTCATCTGCCGCAACCCCCCCCGGCCGCCCCGGAAGCAGGAAGGGCGCCGGGAGCGGCGGCGGCGCCCCCGGGCAGCGCGGAGCGGCCCCGGCACCCCCGGCACCCCCGGGCCTGCCGCCGCCGTGCACGCTCTTCCCAAAGCAGCCATATTCTCCTTTTTATTATTATTTTCTCCCGTTTTTTAAAGCCCCTCCTCAAGTGGCGTTCTAAATATCGGTGTCACCGTGTTTTTCTCTTTGAAGGGTTTCTCCCGGTCGCCTGCTTCCCGCAGCGGCTCCCTGCACTCACTGCAGGCCCGTGACTCATGCCAGGAGAGCCGCGTTTCTGGCCGGGCTGCGGAAACCCATCGTCTCCAGAAGCGCAGGGCGGCTCGGGTACCTAGTGCTGCGCTGGAGCCGCTCCAGGAGCAGCGGCACCCAAAAGCGTCTGCAGTTACCAAAGGAAAGGGCGCCTTCCTCTCCACTGCCACCTGAAAGTTAGCCACCTGAGGCCCGCTCCGGAGATGAAGGCAATCACCTCCTAAATGTGCTTTATCCTCTCCTAAAATGGGATAAAGCAGCCTGAGATAAATCAGTCTCTCGGAGAYGTTCCTCCCGCTCGGCTGGCAGGAGCCAGGCTTACACTAAGCATCTTACTCATTGGCTGCAGTAAAGTGGGAGAAATCTCGCTGTGACCTAGGAGGGGATATAAACTTTTATAACCTGGTTTAGAAGATAACCCCCGGCCCCCGACTGYGGAGACGCTTCCTTTGCCGGCAGCTCCCTCCGTTAGCGATTATGGAGGTTCCCTGCGCGGCGGTTCCCAGGCGGAACGCTGCCTGCTGCCAGGCGCAGGTGCCTGCCCGGATGGACTGACAAAGCAGTCCTGTTTGCCCAGGCTGCGTCCCTTGCTCCTGGGGCCTCGGGGTCCCTTCYAACCAAAGCACGCGCGGGATTCTCTCTGCTAAGTTATTTGTCTTACAAAACGGTGCCTAGAGGCAGCCACCAAGATGGAAACACAGTTGCTGTCGGTGTTGGTTCATAACGTTGTATCTGCTGTTTTGAATGTCTGTACTTCTTCCAAATAAATACACGGCGGAGAGCAAGGTCTTGGCTAACACAGCGCAGTGTGTTTGGATGCTGCACCCAGACCAGGCTGCTTCTCCGAGCTGCTCCTCCAGCGAGGGTTGTAGGCTG